CCTTCTTAAACCTAACAAAAGAATTCTAACGCCCAAAAGCTGAAAGAGAGAACGTTGAAGACGCAGCACCATACAGACCCCCCCTGTGCGTCATCGTCTTCAACCTTGCCTCCCCCCACCCGTTTCTGATCTGGTTTTCTTTTAACAAAAGTACAAAGCGACCACCCACCCTGGCGTCATCGTCTTCAGCACAACCTTCAGCCCCCTCTAAAATCGGCAGCCACACACACGCACACCTAGATGAACAGAGAGCAAACGATGACAGAGCGAGAAATTTCGTTTCAAAATAGGGAGTTCGATCGAGTTCGAGGTGTCGTTCACAGTGCAGTTATTGATCCTGTTTGAGCCTGATTGTTTGTCTCGAGTTTTGGGTTGTAATATTCGCTTGATTTCTGTCCTTGTATCACTAAAAATTTCATCAATTGAAAGTTTGAATTTCTGTTTCTATAGTTGTTGAAGTTCTATTAATTGGAAAACAATTTTCGACTCTTAAGCCTCATTTTGCTGCTGAAGTTTCGTTAATTCAAGCCCATTTCGAAGCTCGTGGGCGAGATTTGTTTGGAGCTGACGAGCGCGAGATGCCGGTCGAGGTTTAAGTTCGTGATTCCCGACCGGACTTGCTGCTGCTTCTTAGGACAGATTTCGTAGATTGGAAATTTTGCAGTCGGATATCTTGCCGCTGATTGTAGAGCAGTTGACGAGCTAAATTCTGTCGCAATACATTCAGTGAGGAAGCCGTTGCTGCTTACGTCGGAACCAACAGGGAGCCTTTGAAAGAATTGCCTTTCAGTCTTACCAATAAGGTATTAGACTGCATAATGACTATAAATTCTTGGTTTGGTATTTCATGCTTAATCAAGTTTTTGAAAGTGTTTCTGCCTAGTTTGAGGTCGGACTCCTGTCCTATTTCACTTATCTCCTTCCATCTCATGCTTGATTTTTAGATAATATGAATTGGTGATTATGTTTCTGTTACATTGCTTGATTATTAATGTTTGAATTATATGAGCAGAAACAAGTGAGATTCGGTATTTTAAGTTAGATTACCCACATAATTGGGCCCTGAGATTTGATTGTCGAAATTTGGTTTGAATTTTTGTTGCATTTGGGTTACTGTGGTAGTCATTTAAGATTGGGCTTTGGATTAATGTTGGGCCAGTGGAATAAGCTTTGGAAGGTTTGTTTAATTTTAAGCAATAACGTAGGACCTTCAGTTAAGTATTAGAATATGACCAAGGCTTCAACGATGAATGATCTATTATGCCTTGAACTCTTGTAGTTTGCTTTAGGTGCGTTAATTAAATAAATTATTATGGCTACGAGTACGGTTCCCGTGGCATAGTTGTGATTTGTAATATTCAAACTCGGGTGCGCATTTATGTGACCCAAATCCAAATCTCAACGATGTTAAAATATGTCAAAGACCACGGGTACATTTATATGACGTAGTTTGAGACGTGTTTTAATAACGTCGCAATTTTCTCTAAAAATGAATAAAGCAGTTAAGGCTAAAATTGCACCATAGGCTAAACATGTATTAAAATCAAGTAAATAGGCCAATTATAACAGTTAAGCGACCGTGCTAGAACCACGGAACTCGGAAATGCCTAACACCTTCTCCCGGGTTAAAAGAATTCCTTACCCGGATTTCTGGTTTGCGGACTGTTAAACAGAATCAACCTTTTCCTCGATTCGGGATTTGAACCGGTGACTTGGGACACCATAAATCTCCCAAGTGGCGAATCTGAATCTTTTGATAAATAAATCCCGTTTCGATTGTCCTTTAATTGGAAAAACTCCCCTTATACCCTTTTCCGGGGGTGTAGGTGTAAAAAGGAGGTGTGACATCTATAACAGTTGGCACGAGGCTCAAATATGACAATCAACCCAAAATACGATAATACTTTCCAAAACACAAGGATAACAAATAGTATTCAATCAAATACGCGGTTTAACAGTCATACAGGATGGACTAAGTCACAATCTCCAACGGTGCACGACCCCATACTCGTCATCTAGCATGTGTGTCACTTCAAAGTAGCACAACGATGTAAAATTCGGAGTTTCATACTGTCAGGACAACATTTACAATCATTACATACCTCTATCCGGTCCAAACTCTAGCCTACGAAGCCTTTTCCCCTCGAATCGGCCTTCGGATGCTCCAAATCTATCCAAAAATAGATTTATACCATCAAACTATGCTAAGGGAGCAAAGCCCACTCGAAAATAACCAATTTACATAAAACAAATCTCGAAATTGACCAAACCCGACCCCCGAGCCAACGTCTCTGATTTCGATAAAAATCATAAAACTAGAATCCTTACACTCTCATGAGTTCATACATATCAAATACATAAAAATCCAACCACAAATGACCCCTCAAATCCTTAAATCAAAGTCTCAAATTCCAAGCCCTAACTCTCCAATTTTAGGCTTTAGATTCCACAATTTTCATGTTTAATTAGGTAGAAATCACAATAGGATCGAGTATTAAGTTCATAAATCTTACCTCCAAGTGTTTCCCTTTGATTACCTCTTCAATCCTTCTCAAAAAGCTCCAGAATCGCTCAAATATAGTGAAATGTAGACCCAAAATCGCAGAAGTGGTCATTTAAACATTCTGCACAGCTATTTAAATCTCGTCTTCGCGAACACAGTCAACGCCTCGTGTTCGCGAAGCATAAAATTCCCTTGAGCACTTACTCGTTCATCGCGAACGCGATGCCCTGTACGCGAACCCGAAGCTCCAACTTTTCAATCCATCACGAACGTGACACCTAGCTCGCGAACGCGAAACACAAATGACCTGGACCCAGCTGCTCCCATTAACTCTATGCAAACGCGACAATACCATCCCGAACGCGATACACACTGACCCCAGCCCTCCGCAAATGCGGGACCCCTATCGCGAACATGAAGGCCAACCCTCCAGCCTCACATCCTACCCCTTCGCGAACGTGAAGACCAAACGTCTGCAACACCAACAGTTGATTTTCTGCAACTTTTTCCCAACATAAATTGATCCGTTCAACCGCCCGAAACTCACCCGAGGCCCTCGGGACGTCAACCAAACATGCCAACATATCCCATAACCTTATTCAGACTTGTTCCAACCTTCGGAACGCTCAAAACAATATCAAAACACCAAATTAACATCGGATTCAAACCTAAAAATTCCAAAACTTCCAAATTCCGCTTTCGATCAAAAAGTCTATCAAACCTCGTCCGAATGACCTGAAATTTTGCACACATGTCACAAATGACACAACAGACCTACTCTAACTTCCGGAATTCCATTTCGACTCATATATCAAAATCGCACCTATCAACCAGAAAATGTCATAATTCCAATTTCGCCAATTCAAGTCTAAATCTACTCCGGACATCCAAAATACATTTGGATCACACTCCTAAGTCCCAAATCACCTGACAAAGCTATCCAAACCATCGGAATTCACATCCGATCCCTTTTTCATATAAATCGATATCCGAATGACTTTTCCAACCTAAGCTTACTCAAAAGAGACTAAGTATCTCGTTCCTTTCCAAAACCTCTCCGAACCCAAACCAACCAACTAGATAACACATAATGCAGTTGAACAAGATAGTAAGAAGAAGAAATGGGGGAAACAGAGCGGTGACTCATCAAACGACTGGCCGGGTCGTTACATATATATAGTAGTTAAGGATTATCTTTATTGTTCTTATATGAATACTATATCAACCGTAGTGAGTAATGATAGATACCAATGTTTGATTGTTCATATTATTCATATATGTGGATGCTCCTTTTTCCACATGGCAAACATACATATATTGATTGTTCTTATTATTCACATATGTGGAGGCGCCTCTTTCCACACGGCAAACACACATATATTGATTGTTCTTATACTTCACATATGTGGAGGCGCCTCTTTCCACCGGGTAAATATATAGGAACTGATTATTCTCTAAGTGTTGCTTCTTAATTTACCTTATACATGTTATATCTTGAGATTGCATATTAATACGATATATCTCTCGTTTTAAGCTTCTAGCTGGTAATGTTTTTCCTTTCTTTAGTCTTGTTCAGTTTATTATTTGATTTCTTGGTTAGGATTATTTTCATTCATTAGCTCTTTGCTTAATTAATGATGTTACTGCCCAAGTGATCATAAATATTTTCTTTCATTAGCTCTTTTATGAAAATTCATATTTGCTACACTTGTTGTTATGAAACGAACTCTTGCTTACATTTAGTTATTTTCCATGAAGGAAGAAATGCACGACATGAAGGAAGAAGTGTAGGAACTAGAACAATTGCGGCATCTTGGTAATGTATTGGTGCAACCAACCTTGGACTGAACATTTAGGATATAGCAAGGTGTGTCGAATCTATCCTACCTTCTCCGGTTTATGAAAGTAGTGCATGAGCTACGAGAATCCACAATCTTCAACATTTCTTTAGTTAACTTATGGTCTGATTTGTGAAAAGGTAAATTTTAATTGTTTTGAAGTTATTCTCTGAGTATCTAGGGAGCAAACATATTAAGGTAACATAGAGTTGTATTACTAGTTGGGTTTGAAACTATAGATATTTGCACAATGGTTGAATAGTGTTAACTTCACAAGTATATGTTCTTCATTTGACCGATATGTTTAGGCTCTTTCGAGGCTCGAGTAGAAGAAAGATTACTTGAATAGAGGGTTGTCTCAAACCCATAAAAATCTGAATAATTGGGAAAAAGTACTGTATTCATACATATTTTCTGAAATTTGTTAATATGAGTTCTTCATATTCAATATGGTATTATTTTACAAACTTGTATGTAAGTTGTAGCTTTGAATTAACAAGCAACTTTATACCATATTGCATAAAAACTCTTTTCTAACCAGGATTAATCATCTGAATTTCCAGATGGGAGCCATATTGTTGATTCAGCGTATTACACAAAATATTAACCATATTAAAGATTTCAATATGATATTGTATGGTTATATTCTTTTTAATTGTTAATTTTGTTTTGACTGTCTAGGAAAATACGGGTGATGCAATTGAACTAGTGACCACAATTATGAAGTGAATGATGAAGACTTTTTGAATAATTGTGATGTGTATTATTCATGTTGTCATGATACTTCTGAATGGAAATTACAATTAATTTTCAATATTTTCATTATTTTAGTAAAAGAAAAAAAAGAAAAGGAAAATCTGTAAAAAAAATCACGCCTTCCTATCAGCTTCAAATATGAATAGTGCTACCACTAAGAGTAATTGAGAATTTGTTTCTCTATAGGAGTTTACAATTATCACTTGCATTCAGATTAAAACTTTTCTTCCTTCAAAAATTTGAACCCTTATGGGGAACTATCTGTAACATCTTGTAAATTCGGATTAGGTGTGGATGTGTTAAATGAGTAAAAATGTGATATTTTAGACATGTGAAGTCCAATTGGGATGAGTATGGGTGGAAATAGTTGTTATAGAATCAAGACGCAGAGTGAGGTGCATGCGATTCGATAAAATCGATCAAATTTATAGACGATTGTTTTCTCCGCCAAATTTCATGGAATGTTGCTAGTAGTTTGATAAAACTCAAAGCATGAAAGTTGTTTCCCTTTGAAATATATTTTCAATGATATTTTGTGCAGTCCAAACGGATCTCTGTGCAAAAGGTTATGCACATTTTACTAAACATTATGCAGTACGCGCGCCCAGTTGTTCTGTGCACAACAGCACACCTGTGGCATTGCCACTGCCCTTGCTGCGCGTCCAGGTGTGCAGTTGGGCCTTCAGCTCTATGGAAATGCACTCAAGGGGTCATTTTAAAAGTCCTACCTCCAACTCCACACCCCAAACACGTAAAATTGCTCTAGAAATGGACGCTCTCAAGAACCCAACTTCCTCCAAGGTCCTTCCATTATCGAAGGTAAGTTCTAATGGTGATTCTAATTTAATTTCACTTCTCTAACACCTTAGTAACATGGTTAAACCCTTCAAATCAATAGATATTTGATTGAGACATCATTGTTGTGAAAAGAAACCCTAGAACTCGATTCAGGAGGATTGATCGTCAAAAAGTAATATCTTCATCATCTAATTGATTATAGAATTGGACTAATGATTATAGACTCTAAGTTCATGAGATATGAGTTGATGGATTTGATAGAAAAGCATGAACGGTTATATGTTTGGGTTGGGTTGTTGATTGTTGATTATTGGTTAAGGGCGTTATTTATCTTCTGTGTGATGAAGAATTTATTGATTATAAAAAATTTAAGTTTTTAGAATTTATCTAGGAGCAAGAGAATGGGTTGTTGGGTGTAGAAACACCATTAATGAGGGTGATAAAGCTTTATGTCCATAAAGTGTTTGATAAAATGCCTAAGTGACCAAAACATGAGTATTATTGCTAATATGGAATCCCTTTGACTTGTATTGATCTAGATTAAAGTTGAAATGGTTGGCGAATGTTGTATTGTGCTCAAGAGAAGGAAGTTAAGGTATGTGATGCTAACTTTCTATGTTTGGGAGTGTTAATGATTCTCCCTACACTAAGATTTCTTTTACGTTACTAATTGCCTCAGAAATATAAGTTTTTTTTAATAGTTGCAGAACTTCTATTCTCCAGCTTCGTAAATCATTCATGACTTTCATATTTACGTTGTGAACTTAGTGCGTAATAAATATAGGCTTGTGTTTGATGCCTATAAGTCTCAGTCTAGGTTACTCAACATGTTATAAACAGTTGAAGTTTCAGTTCTCATAATTTGTTCATGAATACATGTCTCAATCTAGTTCTATTTAGCATTCCACCATCATATAACTCTGTATGGTTCATTATTTTAGTATCATGTATTACAATATAATGCTTAGTTCCTAATTTATATCGTTGAATGTTGAATACCTGTATTTAGGCATGAGGCCGCAATTTATACTTTATGCATCTTTGAGCCTGAAGCCATAGTTATGTATACGTATACTTGGGCCTGAGGCCGCAATTTGTGAACATATATATTTATATATATAGGGTCTGAGGCTGCAGTTTAATTATTCAGATAAACATGTGGTCCATTATTCAGAAGAGGGAGTATTTATATCCTTACTTCCTTATGCAGTTATGTAATGACCCGACCGGTCATTTTGTGTAATTGCTCCATATTTACCCTTTTGGTGCTTCACACGTGTATGTTTATGATTTTATGACTTGCGGGGTTGGTTAGCTTCATTCTGGAAACTTTCGGGAGTAGCGCCTCCTTTTTCTCGCGAAATCGGATTTCGACATTTTCTGGGACAACTCCTTTTCGTGAGAGTTGGGAATTGGATTTGAAAGAGTTGCCACCTAATGGATTAAGGTGCGTTAGGGCACATAGAGCAATTAACTCATATAACCAGTTTACATCACTAAAGATCGGGTAAGGACTCGAAACTACCTTGAGGGAAAGGTGTTAGGCACCCCTCGAGGTCCACAACAGTGGGTCCCGACTGAACATAAATTAAACAAATTAGTCTTAAAAGGGAAGAAAATAATTTGGACAGATACAATATTCAAATTATTTTTACATAGGAGTATAGTGGGTGGTCCTAAGTTTTTTAGCCTATAGAATCATTCCATGCAATGCTTTGTAACTCTCTCAAGTCGGGGTTTTCCTCATAGCATTAGTGCATGGGCTATTATTTCCTTTACTACCCATTTACTATCTTCAAGTTGTTACTTAAGCGCACTAATTGATTCTAAATTGTACCCTATGCGTGCACTACCCGTCCCTTACTTATGGTACTAGAGGTATTTAGGACCTCTATGTAAGGTGGTTCTAGACTGACCTATGTTGCTTAAAATGAGAAAAGCTAGGCGACAGACAAAAATTCATATAGGACTTTATGTAAAGAACAAATAGGGGGCTCATATTGACCTCTACAAATAGACAACAAATGCACGCAATTCAATCAGCAAATTTCGTTATTTTAGGATCCTATATGCAGGATATCTAGACGAGCAGAATAGAATATAAAGAAGCAGTTTATTAAGGCAAGCATCAGGACCTATTGGCGTGCCTACTGATTTTATGAAGCTTTGAATCTAGGCATTTTCAGGCGGTAAAATGGCAGAGTTTTAAACCTACATTCAATAGTGAGTCCTGTGGATACGATGCCTAAGTGATTTATAAGAGCGCTTGAATTCAGAATAGACTAACAGGATTGTATGGGCATCATTTCTACGAGTTTGTTAATGACAGACCTATAGACATGATTTCTAAGTGTAACACTAATTTTAACTCATAAAGTCAGTTTTATCCCTTTTAGATCCTATAGGCATGCTTTCTAATTTGCAGAATTGATTTAACTCCTATAGACATGATCTCTAAGTGTTGACTTGATTTAAACCTCTATAAGCATGGTTTCTAAGTTAAAAAACTGATTTCATCCTATAGGCATGACATCAATTAGTTTAAATCCTATTGACATGATTTCTAGGTTTTGAAACTTATCCCTTTTTATTCTTATAAGCATGGTATCTAAGTTGAAACTGATTTTTAATTCCTATAGGCATGGTATCTATTAATCATACGTGGGTAAAAACAAAATTAAACAAATTGCGAGGAAAGTTTGTTAATTCACACAAATTGAATCCTATATACGTGATCACTAATGCACGTTGAGATTGGAAATATGTGTAGATATTATGAACATGATTTCTAATGCAGAGTTAATAGAAGAATTATAAGAAGTATCTCTAGTATACCAAAAATGTGGAAATACAGAGTCACAAACAATCAGAAAAAAATCCTATAGGCAGGATCTCAACAAGTACGACATTCACATAATAAATTAACACAATAAACCTATAAGCAAGATTTCTACCCAAGTTTAACAAAAAAATAAGGAAAAACCCCCATTATTTTACTAATAATCTCCAAATCTGTTTATTACAGAGATTATTATAGTCGAGAATGAATAAATTTCATAACACTATCCATTACACTATAGGGAGCCTTAGCAGGACCAATATCAACCTCTGAAACAGGCCTTCAAGCATAACAACTTTGAAGCATAAAGGAGGATCCATCCATGTCACACATGATTATGTTCCTAGTGTGTCAAAGTTCTCAAGGGGATCAGGAACCCTGGGCAATGCTCCTACTAGGACCACACTCAAAGAAACAGTTCACAAAAGATTGGAAGACCACCCCCAATGTGTCAGAGATCGGAGGAGTCTCAAGGTCCTTGGGCAGTGCTCACACTAGGGGTGGTAGAAACCTAAATAACTAAGAGTAGATGTCTGAAAACCAGCACATAAAAGGTAAGGGGGACAAGTTTAGAAATCAGTACATACAGAATAGCAACAGAACTGCACCCAGGAACAAACAAAATTTATGTTCAACATGTAGTTCGAACAAGTTTGCATTTTTTGATTAGGTTAGATGCTAATATTAAACAACCATGACTTAAGCACAGAAACATTTAGTAAACAAACAGGACACATGAATTACCACACATTGATCACATGTTTCTAGCAAAGTTGATAACTTGAACTGAATTAGGAAGAGTTTCATATTATTGAAGATAGCTTAGCTTAACATCATCACTAAGTGGAATCAGGCAGTCACATAGCAAACAGAATCATGCTGCAATTTGAAATAGACTAATTGAATAAAGCATATAGAACAGAATGAAATACTAGGAGTTAAGACATACCAGTTGAGAATAAAGCAAATAGGGATGCAACAGTAGCCAAATTCCAGAGAGTTGGGCCTTGGTTTTCAGCCGACCAAAAGGTGCAGAAACCAGAATAGTTGAACAAAGAGAGAACTTCAGTTTTTAAGAAACAATAAGCTTTAAAGTTGTGAAGTTGTTTAGTGAAGAAGTTATTTCTCAATAGGTTCTAAAGCATGTCTGTGTTTAAAATCAGAGCAAGGGAATAGTTTTTACAACATACAATAGAGTAAAACAAATAAGGGATGAAAATTAATTACACACAAATAAGGTATGAAAATCAATTAATCAATCAATTAAGGTCAGCATGAATCAATTAAGAGAACATAATCAAATAAGTACCACTTAACTTAAGGAAAATCTCACACGAAATCAATCAGTAGCTAAGAGGTTAAATAAAGTAATAACTAATTCGGAAATCAATTAGGAGTTAGTAACACAATATCAGCCAGTAGTACGGGTACACAAATAAGGTAAGAACAAGTAAGAACTTAATAAGGAAATACGGTTACTAAATTCAAACCCTAATTTAGGCAAGTAAATCAATCACACTTTAATTAACAGAGCTAAGGTAAACGGGCAAGAACAGTAGAATAGAAGGCCAAATAATCGAACCCTAGGGACTACAAAGACAAATATATGGAGCTTAATTAAATTAAGTAAAAAAAAATCATTCGAAGAAGTAAACAAAAATTAGAGATGAAAAAACTTAACTATTTAAACATT